CCGTAATTTTCCATTAAATGATTAAAAGCATATTCTTGATGTTTTCTTAATCTCCGTTGTTATCACCCGATACAGGATGTTTCCAATGCGTAGTATAATTGTTCATATAAAAGATGAGAGCAGAACTTCATACACAAACGCACACATATAAACAGATAGTAGCTCTCTTACCGTGTTTTGTGCATGAAGTTTCTCTCTGAGAACACGATGGATTGCTCTACCTCCAACAAAGAGTAGCTAAGATTTTATCCGGATACTGAATCTTCCATCGCTTTCTCCTTAAGATGATATCTGCACCTCTTCGTTCTATCGGGAAAGGGACTTCCTTCAGAGGAACTGCAATTGGCATAGCTTAACGCTTTCCGTTTGTACCCACGGAGCGGTATTACGAGTTTGCTACACTTCCTTATAGGGAGACCGTCTTCTCGGGCTACATTCTTGTTCAAATTTCCCAGCTCTCTTTGAAAAAGAAGAAATGACTCCGTTCGCCCGCTGGTCGGGGAAGAAGAACGAGCCTATGCACCAGAGTATAAGGGCCCTCTCCCTTCGTTCGTAGACCTCGGTGTCTTGTCCATCTGAGAGCTGTCGTTTGTATTCAGTCTCTAATGGCCGACATTCAAGAATTGGCCTTTAATGAATAGAGCAGTTAAAGTAAACTACCGTGAGTGTTAAATCTTCAGAATAGCAAAACCATAGACTTTCTGAAAAAAACAAGACGAAGTAAAAAAGAAAGCTACACGAGTGAATATTTCAGCCATCATATGAACAACATAGACGCTGTAACAGCCCATTAAATCTATTCATAAGTGATTAAATAAAATGAATCCTCATAGAAACAACACTTCATTGGCGCACATTTATTCGACGCCAAAATGACAACACAATCCAGTCTCTTTTATGGAGTTCTAGTCTCCTTATGGAGGTTGGGTTTTTTGTGGGTGTGGGTGACTCCTTGATGGAGGTTGTACCTCTCGACACAGATGTGCTTTCGAGGGTAGGTCCAATTTTTCTGGTTCTTGTGTGTCAGTTGACACTTCTATTGTACTCATTTGAGTTTTTTAGTTATTAATATACTTATCGTTTCGAAAAAAAAATTGACAACACAAAGTATTTTATCAGCACACATGATAGGTGTTTGAAACAAAATTGTCAACAAAATGTAACCGAATGTGGCGACTTCAAATCAGTGATAATAATTATCGAAAGTGAAAATGAA